ATGTGGCGCGTGGTGAAATCAAACAATAATACAAGGACAGAAAAGTGGAAAGGCCTAGTAGCTCTTTTAAAAGCTAGCTGATTTATTATGGCATAAGCCTTAGCAAACCAGAGTTCCGGTCCAAAAAAGTACTGAGACTTACTTCGTGAATTCAGCTCTCATACTTTATTCGGAGAAGAACAAGACAAAGAAACTGGCTCACAGGCCGGCTTATATGCCCCAAGGAAAACACACCCACACACCCCACACCCGTGAATGGTCTATTTACACTGATTAGTTTACTCCTGAGGAGCCTAGGTTCCCGATTGGCTGGGAACTAGGATCCGAACATCTATTGTGTTTGGGAGTGAAGCTCAGGTACCTCACCTGACCTCATGTGGAACCGGCCGAAACTGGATTGAGCACATGGCTAGGTCAGGACACAACACCCATCCCCCCTTGGTCCGAAAGGCATCCACATATATAGTCCTTTAGGTATGCTGGAGCTTTCCGCTCCTTCATGGAGCGGCGTGTTGCTGGGGCTGTGGAAGACACCAGTGTTGAGGCTCTCGGCGGAGAGCTGGCCGGCGCCGGGGAAGTGGGTGCCATTCCCAGAGGCTAGTCTGAGGTGGCCAGTGCAGCTGCGGGCTGGTTAGGGAGCACCGGGGTCGTGGTCTGCGATTGGCTGGCTATCACTGGAGCTGGTGATAGTTTGGTAGTCTCGCCTGGGTCAGCCTCCTCGGTGTCTTCTGGTTCCAGAGGCAGCACTCACCGGCGCATTTGGTCGATGTGCCTCTGGAGCACCATACCGTCCTCACAGGAGACCTCGTAGGAACGGGGCCCCTTGACTCGCACCACTTGCGCTGGGATCCATGGCGGGCCCTTGGCGTAGTTCTGCACGTACACTGGGTCTTCAGGAAAGAACCCTCGGGCGGCTTCCTGGTCCTCCATGTCTGGTTCGCATTCGGGGGCCCAGTCCGGATGCAGTTGATCTAGACGTGTCATGAGGTGGCGACCCAGGAGTAATTCGGCTGGACTGTGCCCCGTTGTTGTGTGTGGTGTGGTTTGTTGGCCGAAGAGGAAGGAGGCCAACTTGTAGTCCCAGTCAGTTGAGTTGAGCCGTCGGAGTGCATCCTTGGTGGTTTGGACCATCCGCTCCGCTTGACCGTTTGTGGCGGGGTGGAATGGAGCCGACTGCACATGTCGAATTCCATAGTAGGATGTAAAGTCCTGGAATTCGCTGGATGTGAATGCAGTGCCATTGTCCATTACCAGGGATACCCTGGGCACTGAAGATCCGCCACATGGCCTTGATGGCGGATCTTGAGGAGGTGGATGGAACGGGGACGACCTCTAGCCACTTGCTGAAAGAGTCAACAAGGATTTAAAAACAGCTGCCCCTGGAATGGCCCCGCGAAGTCTAGGTGGAGTCGAGACCAAGGGCGGTGTGAAGACTCCCAGGCTCTCTCCGGAGCCCTAGGCGGGTTGGGGCGAGAGACCTGGCAAGGCTGACATCGTTTTACCGTGTCCTCGATGTCCTGATCGAGGCCAGGCCACCAGACGTAGCTCCGTGCTAACACCTTCATCCTCATGACCCCAGGGTGCTGCTTGTGTAGAGTCACTAAGACTCGCTGCTGTAGTGGGGCAGGTATCACCACCCGGCCACCCTACATCAGACACCCTTTGTAGGTAGACAGTTCGTCTTTCCTGGTGCCAAACGGCGTGAATTTGGGGCCCTGCTTGGCCGTAGGTGTGGGGTGTGTGTGTGTTTTCCTTGGGGCATATAAGCCGGCCTGCGAGCCGGCTACTTTGTCTTGTTCTTCTCCGAATAATTAGAAGGTCTTTAAGGTGCTACGTGACACTCTTTTCTGTCTGCTGCAGCAAACTAAGTCGGCTATCTATCTTGAGTGTGTGTGGGGGAGTTCTTGGATGTTTTATCCAAGCAGGAGCTTATAAATTCTCCTCAAAAGTTTGCTTTAGGCAAAGCCCAGTGATAACTCTATCCGTGCGTGACTTCAAAACTTGAGAATATCCATGAGAAATTAAAAATTCGAATGCATTTGTGATCGGGTCTGCCTGTGCCCGCCTGCTTGATAAAGCATGTCGAAACTCTGGGATGAAACAATCTCTTTCAAATGCCAACGCTTCTGAATGTTATGAGTCAGGCCAAGTCTTTTAAAAATATCTAGGAAATACTGTTAAATGAAGCAAAGCAAACCAGTTCCATCATGCAGAAGTGCTCCAGACAGTCATGGAAGAAAGGTCACCAAGACAGAACATGCTCTGCCCTTGAGAAGAAGCTTATCCAGACATAGGAGCAAGGAGGGGACAGAGCGTGCCAGTGAAATGTCTCTTACTGGCTGACATTTTCTTTGACAGCCATTGATTTGCAAGCAAGACTTCAATGGCCTATTGGCAGCTCACTGCCTTGCACCAAAAGGAAACTTGGCTACAAGGCCAAGAATGTTGGTTTCTCTTATCAGGTACCAAAGATGAAAACAAAGCAAAGCAAACAAAAAAGGGATAAGTTTGGAGCAAAGGAGAAGTGGGCGAAGGCCCATAGCTCAATGACCAATCCCTAGCATCACTGGTGGGACAGCTTCCAGGATAAGGGAGCTTCAAATGCTTATGTGGTATTTGTAGGAGTGTACAATTGATACTATGGGTTCAGTATATGGTTGCCAACCTCCAGGTGGTAGCTGGCGATCTCCCACCATTACAACTGATTGCCAGGTGACAGAGATCAGTTCACCTGGAGAAAACAGCCACTCTGGAAGCTGGACTCTATGGCATTATGCCTTTAACCCTACCCTCCTCATACTCCACCCTCAAAATCCCCAGATATTTCCCACGCTGGAGCTGCCAGCCCTAGTTCAGTATCTATTGATGTCTGTGCAGTTTGTTGGCTTTCAGGTTGTATAGATCAGTTGGATGCAAAGAGCTCAATTAGCTACAGAGGGAGCATTTTTCCAAGCCAGCCTGCAGAATTGTCCTGCATTATTCAAAAAAGTTTGTGTACTACCGTGCAAACAGAAGGTGAACCTGGAAATTATTTGGGTGGGAAAGCAACATAAAAATATTTTAAATAAATAAATTTGCTGATGTTACTGACATCTTCTGGAGCCAGCATGGCTGAAACATTCCATATGTACATTCAGGTCCATAATTTATCCATCATTTAATCTTCGGATACAAGTGAAGGGAATTGTGAAGGAAAAAGTACCCCTGAACAAAAGCAGAGTACTCTACTAACCACTGAGTAAGTACAGTCATCCCTTTGTCTGAACTTTGGAAAGCAGGGGAAGGCTTGCATAGCAGAATGTTCCTCCCTATGAGTGATGAATGAATTTTCTTTATTTTATTCCTCTCCCTTATAAATAAAAGCCGAATGGTGGTGGCACTTCTCTAGAACATTCCACACGCTCCAAAATCAGTTCGCTCTCTGATCCGTCATTCAGAGGGTCTCCCTATCCACTGGCTGCTTTGCCTGAGTCCTGCCTCCAACATTCTAAACATTTTGCTAATCCTCTCCCCCCCATAGCCAGTCAGAACACAGAGGTTATTTGCATATGCAGCCTCATTGACCTCTGCCTCAGAACACAGAGGTCGTTTGCATATGCGACTTGATTGGCTTTTGCCTCTAACATTCTAAACAGTTTTGCTGTTCTGAGGTAAAATGTGTCCAATCTCCAGGTGAGGGCTGGAGATCACTCAGAATTACAACTGCTTTCCAGATGGCAGAGATCAGTTCCCCTGGAGAAAATGGTGGGCTCTGTATCCTTATATGCTGCTGAGGTGGCCCCCGTATGACAGCCAATGTGACGTAGCAGTCAGGGCTTCAGAGCACGGGAGAGGCTGCAGGTGTGTGGGGGGTGGAAAGCTGAAGAGTGAGGGGGAAATAAAGGTAGGTTGATGGTTGGCTGGGAAGGAGATAGGGTTGCCAACTCCAGGTGGGAAATTCCTGGAGATGTGAGGGATGGAGCCTGGAGAGGGTGAGGTTTCAGGAGGTGTGGGACCTCAGACAGGTACAAAGCCATAGACTCCACCCTCCAAACCAACTATTCCCTTCTGGGGAACCATTGTTGCCAATCTCCAGGTGAGGGCTGGAGATCACTCAAAATTACAACTGTTCTTTAGGTAGCAGAGATCAATTCCTCTAGAGAAAATGGTGGACTCAGTGTCATTATACCCTGCTGAGGTCGCCACAGCAAATTAACACTGAGTGTCCAAGGCCGGGGCACCCGCCCAGAGCCTCTTTCTAGAGTTCGTTGTATTTATTTCCACAATGGACCTTTTTCCTAGTTATTCCATAATTTTGTTCTACGCTTCATTCTGGATTAAAGATCAGTTCTGGATTTGGAGCATGCATAGTTTGCCACATGTTCCAGTTAATTTTTAATCATTTACTCTACCAATGCATATGGGTGAACAGGCACGCACCAGCAAGACTGGCATTCTTGAGAGGATTATATGTATGGTCATAGTGAGATCTTTTGTGTGTGATGTTTTTAGTAAGGCACACAGGTGTTTTTATGCATTGGTAAAACACCATGGAAAAAATGATCTTAATGTAGCTGTTTATACCATCAAGATTTAACAGTGTTTTAATCAGTGTACATGTACTATTGGGAACATATGGGGAGGTGTAAATGAATTGATGGAATTGACTACTGAAGTAAACTACATATACAAAGTGTTCTATACAAAAATCAGAAAAGAAGAACAGAGAAATGGAGGATTCCTAATGCATTTTCTTTACCTTGGAAACAAGAGCAGGTTACTCAGGCTGTATCCACATGACAAGGATCTGCTGTTTCCCTGTCTCATCCAGCACATTTTAACTAGAATGAAATGCCAGGAGTTTGAACTTGGAAGTATTTGCAAATATGGCAGGTCCTCTACCTTCCTGGATACAGTTTTTGCTTTCTTTCAGGGCACATGGAAGCATTTTGGAACTTGCATGGGATTTTGCAATTTCTCTGTCCCTTTCTGATTTATTTTGTTTTGTCCCCTCTCTCTAGCAGAAATCAGAATGGCTTACATCCTGTTGATATTCTCTGCATTTGCCCAGGTTGTTTCTGTGAGCACGTTCCCCTTCTCCAGAGAAAGCACAGGTAACCCTACTCTCAGGACTGGTCTATGCAATCAGCAGGTCATGGGTAGGGGTGTGCAATAAAAAAACCCCACAACTTGGTATTTTTCGGGTTTGGGTATATTGAACCTGAAAAATATTGGTATTTCCCAATATTCCCAAATTCCAATACTGGTATGGTATTCGGATTTGGGAAATATTCGGGAAACCCGAATTATTTTCGGCTCCATTATACCCAATGGATTTCTTTAGGGGAACTGATCTCTGTAGTGGAGAGATCAATTATGATTCTTTCTCTCCCATGTTAGTCTGCTTCACAGGTTTTTGTGAGGGTGAATGAAGGGAAGGGAAAGCCATGAGGTCACTGGAGAAAGAGCAGGATTTAAAAAAAATGTGATTGTTCTGTAGCTACTGTCCCTTTCAGGTCCCCTCTCTGGATGTTTGGTTTTACTTAAAAAAGAAATTAAAGGAAGTTTCCTTATGAGTGCTTTGAGATCACTCACTAAGACCTGTTTCAACCTTCTGGGAAGGTAGGATTGCCAACCCTGGGTTGTGAAATTCCTGGAGATTGGGGACGGACCCCGGGAAGGGAGGGGTTTGGGAAGCGGAGGGACCTCAGTGGTTCACCATCAAAAGCAGCCATTTTCTCCAGGGGAGTTAATGTCTGTAGTCTAGAAATGAACTGTAATTCTGAAAGATCTTGAGCCCCCCCCCCCCGAGGTTGCCAATCCTATGGGAAGGCCTTGGCGGCCATGTACTGCTTGGAGACATTCTCCATAAGATGTTTTTTTAAGGATGGTTGAGCTGTTTTTAGGATTATGTAGCTTATACCTATTATAATGCTGCTACTACAAAGGTGTAGTGGTTAAGTGCACGGACTCTAATCTGGGAGAACCGGGTTTGATTCCCCACTCCTCCACTTGCACCTGGCTGGATGACCTTAGGCAAGCCGTAGTTCTGATAAGAGCTGTCCTTGAAAAAGAGCAGTTTCTGTCAAGAGCTCTCTCAGCCCCACCTCCCTCACAGGGTGTCTGTTGTGGGGAGGGGAAGGGAAAGGAGTTTGTAAGCCGCTCTGAGACACCTTTGGGTAGTGAAGGGCGGGGTATAAATCCAATCTCTTCTTCTTCTTCTTTTCTAGTCTTAAATCCAATCTCTTTTTCTTCTTCTTCTTTTCTAGTCTTCAGTGCTTCATTTGGAGTGCATTATGTTCACTGAACAACAGTTAAATGCAACATTTAGATGTACTTTGTGTCATTATTTTGTTGACAGTCGGGTGGTAGAGCTGTTAAGGGTTGTTCCAGTTAAAGGAACTTCAGAAGAGTAATCAGTTCTGGTGGTGGCCCTTTAAGCAGCCAAGAAGTGATGGTGGAAACCTAAGCAAGTTATGCTTTGTAGTAAATTTACTTGTTTGCGTCTCCCTTACAGATGACCTCAAAGCGCTGCAAGTCTCCATTTCCAGACATCCACCAGTACGAGCCATGCTCTCTGGTAGCCTCACCATCCCTTGCCATGTTACCTATCTGCACCCGCTGCCCACTTCTGGAACTGCAGGGCGCCGGGCTGTCCAAGGGGCACCTCGTGTGAAATGGACCTTCATCACAGAAGGGAGAGAAGCTGAGATCCTGGTAGCTCGGGGCCTGAAAGTGAAGGTAAACGAAGCTTATCGCGACCGAGTCTCCCTTCCCTTCTATCCGGATTCACCAACAGATGCCACCTTGCTCTTGAGTGAACTGCGATCTAACGATTCCGGGGTCTACCGCTGTGATGTGCAACATGGGATTGAGGATGGCCATGACCTTCTGGAGGTGAAGGTGAAAGGTAATATTGCTCACTCTCTAAAGATTGGGTGGGAGGGACAGAATTAAGGCCCCATATCAAGATGCAAACTGTATGGGTGGAACTAAATGATTTCTCTGTAGACATTCCCTCCTTATCCAGGAGTACTTACTGGGAAAGATCCATGGAAGGAAGGGGCAATTAGCCCTGCCCCCATGCATTCTTAAATTCCCCCTTTCAAACACGAAGGCCAGGGACATCCCCCCCTCCCCCACAGGGAGTTGCATCCTACCACCCTTTTACTGACTGAAGGGGGAGGGGGGCGATCTCGTTCTCCTCCTTACTGCAGCCTCCTGAAACAGCCTCCTTACTGCATGAATTTTACCTGTGAAATGACTCCTTCTATTAGCAATGTCTTTTGGGGTATCAAAAGAGGTGCTGGGGGAAGGCAGGGAAAAGTCAATTTCTGCCAGTAGAATGATGGTAGGGTAAAAGAAAGTACTCACTTCCTGTTTCAGAGACACCTTGAGGACAAGCACTACCTAGAGCACCATTTGAAGGGGAAGAAATAACACTGATTCTCCCTGGCAAATCCTCACACACAGTTACACACCACAACTAAAGATATGAAGGCAATGTAGGTTGGCATATTCATACTTCCTCTAGAACATCTAGTGCAACAGGTGACAATAATAGGCCGATTTGCACGCTATGGAGTACATGGGTCTGGTGTCCCCATGCTGTGTGTTAATGCAGTCGTATTACAGATGTCAGTTCTTCTCAATTCCTGCTCTTGTGGTACCCAACCTGGATTGGGACCATGTTGTGCATGGAGAAAGAGGCTTCTTCCTTCCATTATCCCAGCCTGAAACAGTTCTCAGGGGGATGCTGTTTGGAGAAAACCATATGTTCCCTGAGATACACATGGGGTCTTGCAATGGGTCAAATAGCACCAACTGGACTGTTTCAGGTTGGGGCAATGGCACAAGGAGAAAGCCTAAAGACCTCCACGCGTAACATGGTCCTAAGACAAATCATGCACTGCAGATGCAGGAATTGAAGAGAATCTGCAACTCACATATGACTGTATTAAGTAGGGTTACTAACCCTCAAGGGGCCTGGAGTTACAACTGATCTTAGAATCATAGACTTGGAAGGAACCTCCAGGGTCATCTTATCCAACCCCCTGCATAATACAGGAAATTCACAAAGACCTCCACCCCATACACACCCAGTGACCCCTGCTCCATGCCCAGAAGATGGCAAAAAACCTCCAGACACCAGATCTTCAGACACTAGAGATCAGTTCCTCTGGAGAAAAGGTCTGCTTTGGAAGGTGGACTCTATGGCATTATAACCCGCCCTCCTCAGGCTCCACCCCCAAATCACCAGGGATTTCCTAACCCAGAGTTGACATCCCTACCATCTTGTGTAGGCTTACCATTTGCCCACTTATGGCAAGAAACCTCCAGGTGGTTGCTCCTGTTGCCCACCAATGGTCAGTTGGTTGGTGGGCAGAAACACACTGGTCAAAAGTGGGGAGGGACCTGGAAGTGACAACATCATGCTGGGGGCAAAACACTCTGGGAACCATAGAGTTTTAGGGTCAAGTGCTAGAGTACCACCCTGGTGTGACACCGTCACTTCTGGGTTGTGCTGGAAGTAAGTTCCTCCCTCCCTCCATCTCATGCTGATAGTCAACCCTAATCTCCTGTGATCCTTGTGTACAGGGAGTCATGAGGGGCAAGTCAATGACACGCAGGAGGGAGGCTTAAAAAAAACAAAACCTCTGGCTTGCTTCAAAATCTTCTTCCTTGAGTCTTAGAACTAATGTATTGCACTTTGCTAGCCATGAATTTTTTAAAAAATGACTAGCATATGTGGACTGATAAAAGGGCGTTTCACTGGTCCACAGCCAAAACGTATCTATTAATAAATCTACTAATAATCTCTTGACTTCTAGGAGTTGTGTTTCTTTACCGGGAGGGCTCTTCCCGCTATGCATACACCTTTGCCAAGGCCCAGGAAGCATGTGCCAGGATAGATGCTGAGATTGCAACCCCGGAACAGCTGTACGCTGCCTACCTCGGTGGTTATGAGCAGTGTGATGCAGGCTGGATAGCAGACCAAACTGTCAGGTAGGTGAGACAGAGATCGAAACTGTATTTCAAGCAGAGCCTTTCCTCCATTTTTTTTAAACAAAGCAGCAGGCTGCCTGTGAGTAAGTATACAGAAAGAGGAGACTCCTTTCCCCTTTCCTCTCAGAAAATGTTCCTGTTTAAAGTCACACCCACCCACCTCCATCTTTCCTGTAATTTTCCACCGAGAATAAAAAGCAGGACAGGCAAGGGCAATTTTGAGGTGGAAAACCACAGAGGCAACAAGGTTAAGCAACTTCATCCCACCCACGGTCTGTTCTTCTGCCTAGACACAGCCTTGTCCCATACTGCTTTGGGTAAAAGCATAGTTTTGTGTAGTGGTTAAGTATGTGGACTCTAATCTGGGAGAACTGGATTTGATTCCCCACTCCTCCACTTGTAGTTGCTGGATGACCTTGGGCAAACCATAGTTCTGTCAGAGGTGTTCCCTCAAGGACAGTTCTGGAAAGAGCTCTCTCAGCCCCACCTACCTCATAGGGTGTTTGTTGTGGGAAGGGGAAGGGAAAGGAGTTTGTAAACCGCTCTGAGACTCCTAGTGAAGGGCAGGGTATAAATCCAATCTTCTTCTTCTAAATTAAAGCATAGAGATAACAGTCAAGAAACACTGCTAATGCTTAGTATGAGACCACATAACCAAGCAAGATGAGGAAAGGATATCAGTGTGGGATGGAGAGATGTAATATTTCTAGAAATTCTAGATGGACAAGTCAGGCAGATATGGAAACAGGATACTTCCTATTACAGTGATGTGCTACCAATGTCAATAGTGAGCCTGTGAATCAAGTGCAATATAGGGCCCAATCCATGACAACTTCTGTGACTGAGCAGGCAAAAGTACCAGCTCATCCCAAAGTGATCATGTGACCATGGTTTCTGACCAAAAGGGTTCAATGTCCAGTTTAACATCTGTTCTTGGGGAAATCTAAAACAGGGTTGGCGGGTCCCCCCAACAGGTGGGGGATCCCCCGGTTTCTGGTGGTCCCCCTGGTGCAGGCTGACTGGCCAGTGGGGGAGAGTTACCACCCCAAACGTGATGTGCCAATGTCACCCGGAAGTGATGTGGCCACATTGATGATGTCAAGTGGTGACGTTTTGGTTTTGGGGCAAAACTCTATGGTAGAATAAGCTTCCAACCATAGTGTTTTGCCCAAAAAGCCAGAGAATTGCCCCTGATGTCACGAACATGCCTATGTCACTTCCGGGTGACGTAGGCACACCCGGAGGTGACATAGGCAAGGCATGCTTCTTCCTTCCTCTTCACCAGCATTAAAACAACAATATGCCTCAACAGATGATAGTGTGGTCCCAATCTGGCTTCTAGGATCTGCAGTCACTGGAGGGGAGGCCAGATCAAAGTGGATGCCTGCTGCCTTAACTAAAGGCCCAGCAGAAGAGCTCTGCTTTGCAGGCCCTGCGGAACTGTAATAGGTCTCACAGGGCCCTGATCTCATAGGGTAGCTCATTAGCTCATTCCCCCAGGAGCCCACAAAATCAGGGCATCCCCCACTCCCACCTGGGGGCAGCTGGCAACCCTACCTGGAGAAAATGGCTGCTGCAGAAGGTGGACTCTATGCCATTATACCTAGGGTTGCCAAGTTTACTTACCCTTGCCGGCGGGGGAGCCTTGCCGGGCTCCGGGAGCTCTCCCAGGACGTGCGCGCGGACGCCACCAGCATGTCACAGGAAGTGACGTGCTACGTCGCTCACGTTGGGGGCGTGGCCCAGATCGTTGGGGGGGAAACCATATGGTTTCCCCCCCGACAATCTGGGCCACGCTGTCACAGGAAGTGACGTGGCTGCGTCACCTCTGATGACGTAGCTTTGGGGGCGGAGTTCCCCCCAGGGCCCGATTCTGTCGCGGCAGAAATCGGGCCTCCAAAGCGGGGGTTTCCCTGCCCCCCGCCCCCACTTGGCAGCCCTAGTTGTACCCCACTGAAGTCCATCCCCAAACCCCACCCTTAGGCTCCACCCCCAAAATATCCAGGTATTTCCCAACTCGGAGATGGCAACCCTATGCGTAATGGGCTCAAGGAGGGGTTTTGAAACGGAATTATTTGTATCTCCTAATTTTGAACGTCAACATAATCATGAGTTTCCACACAAAATGTTGGATTGCAGTCAAATCTAGCCTTGGATCATCTTGCTTATGTTGGATAGACAGACGTGCACCGAAAGTCAACAAAAACCAAGCACTATTCTTATCCCTAGGTACCCTATACACACCCCTCGCGAAGCTTGTTATGGGGACATGGATGGGTTCCCTGGAGTTCGTAACTACGGTGTAGTGGACCCAGAAGATATGTATGATGTCTATTGCTACGCTGAAGAACTGTATGGTAATTATATTGCTGAGGAAAAAATTAGGCACATTCATTGGCAATGCGGCTTCGAGAACAAGAAGTGGGCAACTTGCTCCTTCAGGAGGATTCGCATGGGCTGGGTTCTTGGGGGGGGGGGATTAGGTTTGGGCAGGAGTTTTTTGTTTGTTTTTGTTTTCAAAAATGAATGACTGGCTTATCTTTGCTCGCAGGAGAGCTGTTTGTGGTGAGCTCTCAAGAGAAATTCACTTGGGAAGAGGCCAAAGCCGAGTGCCAATCTCTGGGAGCAGAGATAGCAACAACAGGCCAGCTGTACGCAGCGTGGAATGAAGGCCTGGACCACTGTAACCCTGGCTGGCTGGCAGATGGGAGTGTGCGCTACCCTATCGTGACCCCACGAGAGAAGTGTGGGGGGAACATGCCAGGGGTCAAGACTATCTTCCTCTTCCGCAATCAGACTGGATTCCCCGATCCCCACAGCAAATATGACGTGTATTGTTTTAGAGGTAAATATATCCACCTTCTGGGATGGTTAAACTTTCAGTAGAGGGGTCAACTTTTGAGCTCTGCTCTTGTAAACTAGCATTGCCAGCCTGCAGCAGTCTCTCAGAATTACCAGGTTACAGAGATCTCTCACTATTACAATTGATCTCCAGATGACAAAGATCAGTTCCGCTGGAGAAAATGGATGCTTTGCAAGCTGGACTCTATGGTATTATACCCCGCTGAGGCACCTCCCCTCCCCAAACTCCACCTGCCCCAGGCCCTACCCCCAAAACTCCAGGAATTCCTAACCAGGAGTTGGCAGCCTCACAGTAGTAGCAGCCTGACAGGCACAGGAATGACATATTCTCCAACCATCCATATGTTTCAGGAATAGCCCCTATGTTCTGCTCCCTGCCCCATGTAAATTCTTGTTCTTGTTTTACTCCTTGTTTTTGCTCTTGGGGGAATTCCTTAGGGCTCCTCTGTGTGGAACTCTGTTCCCAAAATCTGTTTCAGTTAAATCTCTGAGTTGGGAATGGATATGTCTTTTCTTCAATTCAAATCCACGTCAGTGTGTGCACTTGATCACTGAGGTGCTATACAGTGCACAGCCTGCGATTTTGCATTTGGCAGCTGCTGAGGTGTATTCTGAAATGCTGAGAAGCTATTATAGGCCAATTTTGTTTTTCAAACACAGTTTGGTGTAGTGGTTAGGGGTGTAGTGATTAGGAGTGCAGCAGTAGAGTGTTTTCAAACACAGTTTGGTGTAGTGGTTAGAAGTGTGGACTCTAATCTGGGAGAACCGGGTTTGGTTCCCCACTCCTCCACATGCAGCTGCTGGTGTGACCTTGGGTCAGTCATAAGTTCTTTCATAGCTGTTCTCTCAAGGACAGCTCTCTCAGAGCTCTCTCAGCCCCACCTGCCTCACAGGGTGTCTGTTGTGGGGAGGGAAAGGAGATTGTAAGCCGCTCTGAGACTCCTTCAGGTAGTGAAGAGTGGGGTATAAATCCAATCTCTTCTTCACCTCTTCTTCTTCTTCTTCTTCTTCATATTTAACCTGAAGAACTATCAAACTATTGGCTTTCAAATCAATGTTAGTCAAGATATTTCTCAGTAAGCTAACACAGCAGGCAGAGTCGAACTGTCAGCAAAGTTTGAGGGAGGGTGGGTGGTGTGCCTAATGAATATGGTATAGTGGTTAGACTAGGATCTGGGAAACCCAGGTTCAAATCCCCCACTCTGCCATGTAAGCTTGCTGGGTGATCTTGGGCCAGTCACACAATCTCAGCCTAACCTACCTCACATGGTTGTTGCGAAGGTAAAGCGGAGGAGACGAGAATGATGTAAGCTGTTTTTGATTCCCACTGGGGAGGAAAAGTGGGATCTAAATAAAGTAAATAAATAAAAATAGTGACCCTTTGGAATGGGGTGTGTTGGAGGTTCCTGCCAGGAGCTCCAGGTTCACAGAAATCCCAAGGAAACAGCAGGCAAGATCCAAGGAGATTTTAATAAGCAATGATCAAGCTTACAGAAGTAGCAAGCTAAGCTTCCATCTATTGGGTCTCCAACGCACACATGCACAGCGACACTTAGCCAGACCTCGAGATGAGATGCATAGCTAAAACTAAGCATCTAATACCCTAATTGCTGACTACGAGAAATCATTACTCAAGCTATCCCAGCCACTAGGATGAGCCAGGCCATCTGGCACCTGGCGTCTAGTGGTGAGAGGAAACAAATCAAGCTTCCTAGGTAAGAGCTGCTAACAAGCATGAGAGAGGAGAATATTCTCTTGGGAGCAACCTAATGGCTCCCCACCCCGACCCCGGAACTCAAGTTAACTAAAGGTCGAGCACCAGCCTGTAACAAAGATGGAGTTACCAAGACTGTACAGTGTGTTTCAAGAACTGCAACATTTTTGCTCCTTTGGGGACTCTTAATTGGGTGGAAAGGTGGCATAGAAGTGCTTTAAATAGCACAAATAAATAATAAATGAGCATCTCCCTATTCTTTTTTAATGCAATGTCAGAGGATGGGAAATTTAGTTAAGCTGGTGAAGATTTTTCCCAGTACTTATTTCCTTGCCAGGAAAACTTCCCCCTCCTACATTTCTGAGCATCAGGATACTGTGAAAGGGACAGAAGCTGTACTAGTTTAAAAAGCGGTGCCAAGTTGCAGTGTTAGAACCGAGGCACTGTTGGTTTGAAAATGACCTGAGGTTTGCAAAACGCTTACTGTGCTTATCAACTACTGCACCGTCCTCAGCAAGCCCTTGCTCCTGTGAGCCAGTCCTGGAAAGTGCTTTTAACTTCTCACCAGTGGAGGAGTTTAAACCTAGAGAGAACAGAACAGACCAAAGAGAAACTCGTAACCGCTCCTCTTGTAGCGTGCCTTTTAAGAGAGGCATAGTGTGCGGAGATGAGGGGATGTTCCTTGGCTACCGGAAAGCTGGATTCATGGTAAAGGAGGACCCACATGAAAGCAGGGTTGCCAGAACCAGGTTGGGAAACTCCTGGAGATTTGGAGGTGGAGGCCGGGGAGTAGGGTTGCCAGGTCTGGGTTGGAAAATACCTGGAGATTTTGTGGGTGGAGCCAGGAGAGGGCGGGGTTGGGGAGGGGAGGAGCCTCAGCATGGTACAGTGCAATAGAGTCCACCCTTCAAAGCAGCCATTTTCTCCAGGGGAGTTGATCTCTGACAGCTGGAGATCGGTTGTAAAAATGGGAGATCCCCAGGCCCCACCTGGAAGCTGGCAACCCTACCGGGGAGCACAGGAACATCAGTGGGGTACAATGTCTTAGAGCCCACCCTCCAACGCATCCCTTTTCTCCAGGGGAACTGATCTCTGTAGTCTAGAGAGAAGCTGTAATTCCAGGGGATCCCCAGGTCCCGCCTGGAGGCTGGCATCCCTACTTGAAAGTCTGGGTTTTTAAAAACAACAACAACAACAACACAGACTGTCCAGTTTGTGACTGCTTCCAATGACTGAAGGGAATGAGCGTGTGTTTTAAAACGTCTGGTTTAAAAAGAAAGTCAGCAGTAGCTGCTCCCCCATGAAATTGGCTGTGCTCTAAATCACCTTAATCTGAGCCTTGCAGTTGTGCTCGGCCGAGATTACGCCTAGCTCAAGGTGGATTTTGTAAAAGCACTGGAATTTTAATCATGCTTCTCCTGAAAAATAAATCCCCTGCTTTGTGAGCATTGGGTGGGAAGGAGACATGGTATGGCCCAATCTTGTGAGCTCTCAGGAGTTAAGCAGGGTCAGTACTTGGATTGTGGACTACCTAGGAAGCAGGCCCGTAGCTAACGTGGGGCCCACGGGGCCTGTCCCCCTAGCAGTTTTTATGGGCCCCCTTTCTGAGCCTCGGCTCCCCTACCCCAACTCCCCGATTGCCTGTCAGCCTGTTGGCAGGGAGGACAAGGGCAGTGATTTCAGAGGCTGTCCCTGGTGCTGTGCGGCGGGAAGAGGCACGGGGGTTCCTTGAGGGGGGAGCTGGACCCGGAGGCTGTGGCTGCTGCAGCCCTTGCCCTGGAGCCTTTGATTGGATTAGCAGGCGGGGCCCCCAGGCCCCCTCCCTAAAAAGTCCTTAGCTACAGGGCTGCTAGGAAGGCTCTGCAGAGGAAGGCCATGGCAAACCATCTCTGCTTCTCACTTGCCTGGAAAGCCCCTTGCTGGGGTTGCCATAATCTGGTTGTGACTTGAGCACTGTTGGGAGCTTAAAGAGCGTGAAGGATAACTTCATGGAAGTCATACTCAATTAAGGAAAGTGTTCCTTAAGAGTAGATAAAAACTTCTAAACTTCAAAATCTCTGTTCAAATTACCAGATTGTGAGGCTAACCGTTCATATCCAGAACACTTGGGCTACAGAAGTCTCTGTTGTTTGTTTATTTATTTCATTAAAAAAAACCTTCCTCCCCAAATGGGGACCCAAAGCAGCTTACCTCATTCTCCTCTCCTCCATTTTATCCTCACAAGAATCCTGTGAGGGAGGTTTGGAGGGGAAACAGTTGATTCCCCCCCCCCCAATTGCTGCTTTGAAGTCCCACATGCAGAAGGGTGTAGATGGCCCTGGTTACATAGAAGGGCAATTTTTCACTCTTGTGTAGCTTTTCTCTTCTCAGAGCTGATTATGAAAACATACAGATCATAAAAGCAGGTGCGGTGCCGACTTCAGTAAAGGCCCTGCCCTGCATACTCACCAAGCTAGCCTTTGATTCCATCCTGGCTGACAATTCGTTCCTTGAGCCACCAGCTCATAGACACACATCTGCAACAGGCAAGAAACTATGTGTAAACTTTCATCCAGAGTGAGATGGTGAAAACTCTCTCTCCTTTAAATGAAATCCATGAAGGCTGTGAAATTCTGAACCAGGCAGCAGTAGCCTAGGGATGCCAGCCTCCAGGTGGGTCCTGGAGATCCCCTGGAATTACAGCTTCTCTCTAGACTACAGAGATCAGTTCCCTTGGAGAAAATGGATGCTTTGGAGGGTGGACTCTGTGGCGTTGTACCCCACTGAGGTCCCTGTCCTCCCCAGGCTCCATCCCCAAATCTCCAGGAATTTCCCAAACTGGATCTGGCAACCATAGCCCCCCATTCCCCGCCATGACCTGGCAACCCTACAGCAGCCTGGAGGCCTGGGAGACTAGCTCACGTTTAATCTTCACTAGAATCAGATTCTTTGGGCTATGTTTTAGCCAGATGCTTTAGGACCTGTATTTTATTATCTGAGATTTCTAAGCTTCAGGACCAGCTAAACTAGACAGAATGGCATCAGTTATATTACTGGTTAGAGGAAGACAGATGTTCAATTAAAATATCTCAATTATTTGGAAAAGGGTTGTGAAAACTGGTCTTGTAGGAATGATTTTCACTTTTCCATTCTTTATTGGCCTGAAATTTTGCTGCATTGCATTTTTCATTCATTTCCATTTAGCTAGGAGAATTTCTAAAATGAATTCCAGAGTCAGAGCATGTGTGGTTTGCTGCTACTTTCTGGGTGAATCTGCATTTTTCTTTCCTACCGGTGTCCTAGCCTTCTGACTCCATCTTCAAAAAAACTGTCGTTTTCGTACTTCAACTGTGCGTGCCGTGTATACTTTTGCCTGTCTGCATATGTTTATTGCCCTCTCGTGGCAGCTCCATTGTAATTGTGCCTCCGCACCACTTTAAATGAATCTTCTCCAAACAACATTCAAACAAGCATAGAGAAAGACGGCGTCGCAGAAGCACGAAACTAATTTAAAAATGCAAATGCAGATTCGACCAGATGTTGCTTCACTTCATTTGCATCTCGCCTTCCCCCTCCCAATTATGAAACACTGCAGAAGAGCAATCTTTATGAGATCGTGTCTACACTTCCATCAAGATTCCTTTTGGGCAGCGTTTTAAAAATATGTAACAGTAAAACACCCCACCCCACCTTGCTGCAATTATTCATAAAATCACATCAGGATTTTTTTACAGTGTTTTATCAATGTCCATATGTGTGACGGTAATATAGAAATTTGGGACAGATAAGAATGTAATCTTGAGGTGATGTATGATTGCATCTGTGCTCCAGTTCATTGGTAAAACACTGCACACAAAGAACCTTGACAAAACTGCCCTCTATATGACAGCCCTTCCAAGTATTTGAAGATGGTTATCATATCACCTCTCAGTCGTCTCCTCTCCAGGCTAAACATACCCAGCTCCTTCAACCTTTCCTCACAGGACTTGGTCTCCAGACCCCTCACCATCTTCGTTGCCCTCCTCTGGACATGTTCCAGCTTGTCTATATCCTTCTTAAATTGTGGTGCCCCAAACTGAACACAATACTCTAGGTGAGGTCTAACCAGAGCAGAGAAGAGTGATGCCATCACTTTGTGTGATCTGCACATATTCTATCACTTCAGATGTCCAGCTCCAGGTCTGGAAATGAGGAGGACCAGGGGCAGGGGGACGTAGTCAAGCAATGGGAGAGAGGGTGTACAGTTCCCTTCATCCATTTTGTTATTAAAAATAGACCTCTTTTATATGTGAATGGAGCAGAAAGATGTGAATAAGGCACCCCCACATCTAATTTCCCCCAGAGTGAGGTTCCTGCCACAGGCAGCTGTCCCATGCTCTTTTCGGGGAACCCTGAGAAAAGACCAGAGGCAGTAACATCCTGCTTTCTTTCTGCCCACAGAAGATACAAACCCTTTCTCTGAGTCTCCAGTCTCCGAGGCAGAGGGCAGCAAGGTGATTGTGACTGTGACAGAAAAGATGGAAGAGCTGCGGCTGCCCAAAGCGGAGCATGAGGTGGCCAAGGAATCCAGAGGCGCCATTTACTCCGTGCCCATTTCACAGGACGTCCTCGAGGCTCAGCAGCCAAGCAGTGCCTCTGAAGAGGCAGCACTTGCCCCTGAGGCCCCACCAGGGCCCAAGGCAGGTCCCGTTAGCTGTGATGTAAGACCAGGCCAGAGAGATCGGGAAGGGGGAAAAGAGAGAGACGGAAGTTGCGCAGAGAGACACAGGAATGGTAGGTGGAGAATGTCTCCTCTCTGGAGTACCACCAGGTTGCATCTTGAAGGGGTACAAACCTGCCATAATAACTGGAGAGGGGTCACTAAGCCAGCTAAGTCTCTTGAAGGGTTAGCAACCAAATAATTGTATTCTATGCACAGGGGGACTAATGAGCCAAGTCCATGAGCACTGATCTCCCAGTGGCTTTTGAAGGCAAACTTCAGGTGTGCGCAGCCCCTATTTGGATGGGAGTCATGGCAGGAAGAGAGTTTATTCCTTCACCTGACATTTCCCCCCCATCAAACCCCTCACCTGACCTGTATGAATCTATGAGTGCGGGGGGGATGGTCATTTATCTCTAAGACAGCCAGTTTGGTGTAGTGGTTAAGAGTGTGGACTCTAATCTGGGAGAACAAGGTTTGATTCCCCACTCCTCCACATGCAGCTGCTGGTGACTGACTTTGGGTCAGTCACAAGTTCTTTCACAGCTGTTCTTTCAGGACCAGTTCAGGAAAGAGACCTCTCAGCCCCACCTACCTCACAGGGTGTCTGTTGTCGGGAGGGGAAGGGAAAGGAGACTGTAAACCACCCTGAGACTCCTTCGGCTCGCTTCTCCTTCTATCTCTTATTTCTTCCATCTAAATGGAATGGGAGGCAGCACATGGGAAGAAGGATTAAAAAACCCCTCCCTTCACAGGGCCCTGGGTCAACTCAGGACAGCAAAATCCTGTAATCTATTTTTTAGGACCACTGGAAAGATATGGTCACATATCTCCTCAGCTTCCTGTCTGTTTTAATCCTGAATGGTTCAGTGAAGATGTATTGCCAGCTATGGTTTGCTGCTATGTGAATGAGCCGGTACCCTCCCCCGCTGACATGAGTAATAATCTGGGGGACCCTGATAGGGTGGAAAGGCAGCATAAAAATGTTTTAAACAAATAAATGATACAATTACTTCCTCATTCACAGCAAACCATTACGTCCAAATTGTTGAGCTATAGTTTTTACTGGTTCTGCAAACAAGAATTGCAAACCCCCAGCATGTAAAACCTTGTTTGCTGTTACTGGTTCTGCAAACAAGAATTGCAAACCGTGATTTGTTCCCCCCAGCATGTAAAACCTTGTTTGCTGTGCAAGCATAAACCACAGTTTCCCAGTTCAGATTAAAGCAACGGCTTGCAACAGATTTCAGTATGCAGGGGGGGAGCATACACACCCAGAGATCTCCCGGGGCTGATTCACATACTACCAAATCATGATCTGACATTCATCTCTGAACCAAGCCTTGGTATGAGCTTTCAGTTTTGCATGTATTTGCCATTCCATAAAGTTTGTGGGGAAATGCCAAGAAAACTAAAAGGGAGAAGGTTTCAAGAAGACTAGTCACAGTCGGACTATTGGTCCATCTAGCCAAAATTCTGGTAGTCATTCAGCAGGGCCACAGAGAAAAGGGTCTCCCTTTCCAGGCACCTTCAGCATGTGAGGTAGTTGCTCTGCTGCTCGCCTGTGGACTGTCCCCACAAGAACCTCTTTGGTTTTACATCGGGTTGCTAACAACTTTTAGAAATTATATCCTGTCCAGGCCCAAATTGTGGTACTTGGTGGCCTAAACTTTTCATGGCAGAGGAGAAAATAACATCACCTGGTAAATAACAGCACATCAAGCCTTTATTAAAAGGACAGGATGTTTTTTCTCCACATTGTTGGCAAACCTAGTTATACACAAAACTAGTTATAGAAAGCCAGGGTGACAGTGGTTCATTATTAATGTCATGCCACTCTAGTAGGGTTGTCAATCCCCAGGTCCGGGCAGGGGATCCTCCGATTTCGGGGGCTTCTCCCCGCCACAGACCAGTTGGCCGGTGGGGAAAACCCTGTCCCTAAACAGGGACATTGCCATGTGACATCCTTGATGCAATGATGTCACCCAGAAGTGATGTCATCGTGTTGGGGATGTTTGAGGTTTATGTTTATGTTTGAAATTTGAGGTTTATGTGTTTCCGTCCTCCACTGTCCTACACCATTTGCTAGCACTGGGCTAGTTTTTTGGGCAAAACTCTATGGTTTGAGGCAGGGGTCGTTTCGTAGAAAAAGAGCTAGGGGGACTCATTAGCATAACTCATTAGCATATGCCACACCCCCTGACATCACCAGAAGTGTGTCATAAGGCCACACACCCCGCCCCCAATGGTCCTGGCCGCCGCGGCCGGCCTTGCAGCTCCACTGCCGAGCCCCATAAGGGGCCCGGCGGTGGACCTGCAGCTGGTTTGAGGGCAAATTTACCATAGAGTTTCGCGCCAAAACTAGAACATTGCCCCTGGCATCGCTGACACAATGACATCACTTCCGAGTGACATCAGTGCGTTGCACCATGTCACATAACATCCCCACCCACCCCCGTAGTGACAAGGGGACCTGGCAACCCTACTCTCTAGGAAGCACTGGAAACTCTGTGGTAAAATTGCTGATTACTAGAGAGGCATGACCCTGGAAGTGATGTCACGCAGTTGCTGATGACCTCCCCCATGTCCCTCCCCAGGTCTTGTGCTAGATGCCAGGCCAGGTCTGATAAGCCTCTCCCACACATAGCTTTCCCCCTTTTTTCTAACTGTACAGTCCTCCTCCCCGACTGCAGTTTAGAAGTTTGTTTTTGATTTTTAAGCAAAAGACCAAATTTGCTTTTGAGTAAAGGCAATCACAGAGAGGCCAATTTATATTTAAATAGCTATTCTGTCACATAGCTCACTCAACCCCTCAGAAAAGCATAACACAACAACAACCAAGAGATGAATAAAGCATAAATTTTAAGAAGTAGGGCAAAAAAAACCCTTTATTCCTGTGGTAAAAATATAAAACCAGGTCAGTGGCTATATCTCGGAAGACTTGGCCTAGTTCCTAGGGTGGTGGTATTTGTTTTATTTATTAAAACAATTCTACCTTGCCTTTGGGTTAAAAAAATACCCCTCACAAAGTAAGATTAAAACCTAAATTACTGTAACAGATCTGTTCTGCTTCATGAGTGCAGGTGAGGGTTCACATGACAGCATGTGCCACAACTATTAAAATCACTGCACCTAGAAATCTAGCATGTCAGGGGAAGGGCAGAGCTGCCAGCTACCTGGAGACAAAAGGCCATGTTCCTGTAATAGAGGTTTAATGTGTAGAAATGGGCAGGTGAAGCTTTTTATGGCACGGAACCAAATAACATCACCTGGTAAATAGCATCTTATTGAACCTGTGTTAAAGGAGCATGACATATTCTCTGCAGGCTGTCAGGAACACGAGAAGTGAGTTCCAGTCTAGCTTGGAAAAGCCTTGGTAGGGTGTCAAGGGGGGGGGATTGCCATTGGTCCAACAGCACAGTGTCACTTCTGGGATGGGCCTGGAAGTGTTGCCATTGTGTCAGGGGGACATACTAGGATTCCCCTGAAATTCTATGCTAAAACCATAGAGTTTCAGTGGAATCCTAGAGTGTCTCCTGGTGCAATTCTGTCACTTCTGGGTTCTTGTCGGAAGTGACATTGTGCCATTGGAGTAATAGCAATTTATTTGTCCCCGTCCTCCACTGTCCTGCACCACTGGCTAGTACTGGGCTGGCAACCCAGCCACGAGACAGAGTGGGTGGTACAGCCCTGAGATAGAGTGACCATGTCAATGAAAAGTAGTCCTTTACAGTCCTTCCTAAGTGTATATTAGAGCATGTCCTGGGAAGGGTCTTTCCCCCAGAATGGGCGCCACTACTGAAAAGGCTGTGTCCTTGATACCTTCTGAGCTAACTTGTCAATCTGCCACCTAGAGCCTAGATTTACTGGACACGCTCAGTGTACTGGAAAGCATATGGAACGAAGTGCTCCCTAAAGGTTGGTTAGGGGTTTAAATGTTAACCCTGGCATTTGACAGTGGCTTGGAAGCTGATGCTGTCGTTGTTGAAGGCTTTCACAGCCGGAGTTCATTAGTTGCTGTAGATTTTCTGGGTTGTGTGGCCGTGGTATTGGCATTGTAGAACCTGACGTTTCGCCAGTCACAGTCGCAAGACCATGGCCACACAACCCGGAAAACCTACAACAACTAATGATGCGGTTGTGTTTTTTTTTCTCCAGCAGAGGCTATAGTCTGCTTGGTAAAATAGTTGGAACACTGTGACTTTAGATTCACATATCTTATACTGCTATAAAACCAAAGCTTATTTACCTCAGTGCCAAGCTGGATATGATGGTGTCAGCTATGTTAGTTTATTCACATCCATACAAGGTGGGAGGATCCAGTTTTAACATCCCGAGGAGTGCTTGGCAGAAAGGAACTAAACCATCTTCCTTCCCTTGGTTTAAATCCTAGTGATCCATCATCTTTTCTCTCCTCATTCCAGCTTCATTATTGGAAGAAAATTGGATTGAGAAAAAAGGCCTGGGGTGATGGAGCATGCAGGAAGAGATAGATAAGCTTCTCTCACCCACAAACTCCTTTTGATTTAAACATCTCCCCACCCCCAATACCCAACTTTAAATGTAAATTGGGCAGATCTGTGAGCAACTGGCACAGCGGCTGCCATCTTATCTGGTTTGGCCCTCAGAAATTGCCAAAATGTCTGTATGAAGGGAAAAGTATATGTTGTGGGTCATTTTGAAATTCGTTTAAAAGGTCCCCCCCCATACACCAAACAGCCATCAAGACTGCAACTTAAAACCAAAAATGTGTGTGTGATTTTGCTGCTGAAAATTGCAAAATTGCCCCCAATTCCCTATTCCATTTTACCAAACAAGTTTTTGTCCTGTTTCTTATAACACCCCCTCACACACACACAGTTTTCTTCAGCTTTCTCTTGTGCAGATTTTGGAACCAAATATGTTTGATTCATTTAATAATAATTGGATATTCTTTATGCCACCATCCATAATTGCCATCTGATACTTGATACTTTATTTCGATATTTGACATGAATAAGGCAGTTGAGTCCTGATAATGTGTGAGGCACCATCTTTCCTTTTCTCCACCCCGTCTTATTGCAGCTTCAGGTGAGAATGGGAGTGGAAGGTGGGGAGTGAAATTTACATCAAGAAAATACTCTTGGCATTTCCAACAAGCTTGGACAAAAAAGTCTCCTTAAGAACATAAGCCGTGCTGGATCAGGCCAATGGCCCATCCAGTCCAACACAGTGGCTAAAACCCAGGTGTCATCAGGAGGTCCACCAGTAGGGCCAGAATTCCAGAAGCCCTCCCACTGTTGCCCCCCCCCCAGCACCAAGAATACAGAGCATCACTTGCCCCATGCATAAGTGTCCCCTCTATACCTTATGTCTAATAGCCAAAGATGGACCTTTGCTCCATATGTTTATCCAATCTCTTCTTGAAGCTGTCTATGTTTGTAGCCGCCGCCACCTCCTGTGACAGTGAATTCCATGTGTTAATCACTCTTTGGGTGAAGAAGTACTTCCTTTTATCTGTTCTAACCCGACCGCTCATCAATTTCATTGAGTGCCCACGGGTTCCTGTATTGTGAGAAAGGGAGAAAAGGACTTCTTTCTCCACCTTCTCTATCCCGCATATAATTTTGTAACCCTCTATCATGTCACCCCTCAGTCATTGTTTCTCCAAGCTAAAGAGCCCTAACCTCTTTAACTTCTTTAACCTTAACAGAGCCTTTATGGGATGTTATTTACATCCCTGCCATAAAAAAGCTTCAGCCACCCATTCCCAAAAAGTAAGGTTCTATTAAACGGGCAGGATTTCCCCCCCTCCCGGCCTGTTGGCAACCTAAGGAAACAGCACAAGAGGAAAGAGATTCTTTTAAAGGGAACAATCATTTCTAATTGCAGCCGTATCCCTGACCTTCAAAGGCTGCTTAGTAATTAGTACAAACAAGCCAACAGCAAAAACTGCTGACAATCCTAATCCTGGAGCTCCAGAGTCGTGCTCGTTTGGCCCTGACATTTCAAGAGTACTTAGCATTTGATGGTGTCTGACAGTGGACATGCCAGCAGCACTTGGTCAGTGTGAGATGGCGGGCTATTATTTTCACGCATTCATTTCATCACCTGGAAACATCCCCCAAGGTCTGAAATACACTTGATACAGAATTGGCAGAAAGTACCTGTCCATGTTTCCCTCCGTGTTTTCCGCCATTTCCCCCCCTGTAATGGTCCATGGGGTCGCGAAGAGTCGGACTCGACTGTGCGACTGAACAACAAATGCAGACACAGCTAGTTTGCTGACATGGGTGGGGGACAGGCCCATAGCTAACGTGGGGCCCACGGGGCCCGGCCCCCTAGCAGTTTTTATGGGCCCCCTTCCTGAGCCTCGGCTCCCCTACCCCAGCTCCCCGATTGCCTGTCAGCCTGTTGGCAGGGAGGACAAGGGCAGTGATTTCAGAGGCTGTCCCTGGTGCTGTGCCGCGGGAAGAGGCACTGGGGCTCCTGGGAGGGGGGGAGCTGGACCCAGAGGCTGTGGCTGCTGCAGCCCTTGCCCTGGAGCCTTTGATTGGATTAGCAGGTGACCCCCCCAGGCCCCCTCCCTAAAAAGTCCTTAGCTATGGGGCTGGTGAGGGGGTGATGGTGGTGTGCCTAACTCTCTCACATACATACGTTCTTTCCCCACATGCCAGAGAAAGATATCAGAACCACATTTTTCTTTCTTTCTTGCAAAGAGAAAAACCAACTGGAGGGTAGGCAGTTTTTAGCATGCAAATGGCCCACGGGAAAAAGTCTAAGCACACACCCCACACACACAAGCACACACACTGATTTCATCTGATTCAGAGCCTCCTGCACTGGTGCTGAAAAGTGACAAATGAAACCCCTCTGGGAAGACTGATTCAGTCTGTCCTGCATCACATCCACTGTGTGACCATCTAAGAAGTGATGAATTCAAGATCTAATTTTTTTGCCATTTGAAATCATCACCTCCTCCCATGGTCTTATGTTGTTGCTTTTGTTGTTTTAACAGAGGGTGGGGGGTCTGTCTCATGTCTCCATTCATAGGCACAATGCCTTAGATCCCGGAGATATCTTGCTGATGAAAAGGATTTCCATAAGTGGTCCAGGACTCCCTTGTCTCCTGCTTCATCCCCAATTGCACCCTGAAATGCTGCTCCTGGGGTACAGGAGATCCCCCCCCCAGAACAGCATGAGGGGGAGTTGGATGTCTGCAGCAGAGAAAGGGTGAAAATTGCCCTCCTTCCATTAACAGTAATTTTCTGCATCTATCCCAATGTTATATGTGAAATGGGTCACACACAGATTTCATCTCTGGTTAGATCTGCAAGTTCTCATTCTGCAAGTTGTCCTTTCTAGATAAGGGTGGGGGGAAAGATTTGCCTCTTGTTAGGGGGACAGAACCAGCTCTCAATGTCTCATTTGCTTCTCTTGAAATTTTGCAGGTGAAGAGCCTCAGCCTAACTCAGAAGAAACCTTAAGCATTGAAGATGATCAGATGTTGGATCCAGGCCTGCAGGTTGAAGAAGAACTTGATGAAGAACAGAATGCACCCGCTTCTTCAGAAGCCACTCCAGGGGAGGCTGAGCCAGATGTGGAAGATGCAGTTATCCAACATCAGTCTCAGACATGGCCCAAAATCTCTCCAGAGCTCAGCAAGCCTAAGGACAAGAAGAAACCCCACAGCTTCGACAGCCCAGCGCATCCTGGCCCATCTCAGCAACATGGAAGGGAAAGTGCCACAGAAACCGGATTCTCCGAGAACTTAGATGCTCATGAAGCAAGTAGTGGGGCGGGGTCTTCTGATGGGGTGCACAAAGCTCCGTCATCATCTGCTTCTGAGACTGTGGCTGAAGCAAAGTCCGTCCCTCTGGAACAAGTGGATCACAATGTCAGTTATAGCGATCTGGAAGAATCTGGATTTCCCCATCAGCCTGAAGATTCAGGGTTGCATGACATCTTTGGAACAATCGCCACCCCAAAGGCAAGTCAGAAGGACACACAGTCCCCTCCGACCCCTCAAGGTGGGCACATTTCTGGACTAGCAAACACCCACTCCCCTAGTCATCCTGGTGGATCAGGAGATGCCGAATTTTCAGGCGCTGTGCCTCTAGGAACAGCTATACCAGTGGAGATGACGCCAATGGGTGATACATCATTACCCGTACCCCCTAGTACTGTGCCCCCCAGTCTGCAAGAAAACAGCGAGGAACACTCTGAGTCTGTCTGGCTTTCATCCACCATTGCTACTTCCAGTCCTGAGGAGGCAACATCCAGCTTTGACTTGGGACACCCAATTGACTTCCATCTTCCTTGGGAAGAGCACGAGACTGAGGAGACCACTGAGACATATGATGTAAGCACTAAGACTGTGGATGGATCT